GCTATTTTTTGATACCAAAGCGCGCATTGTAGCATAAACCAGTGTCGAGAAAAACTCGTTTAAAGCTAGACTACGCAACACTCCACACCGTCATTATGGGACTGGGATACTATTACAGTATTTACGGTAATTTGTTTTCTTAAAAATTAAAAAAACTAACGTAAGCTTGGCTCGAGTTTTTATCGAATTTAAAATTTTGTATTCAAATAGCTGTATTTCAAAAAGGACAAAAAGGACAAAAAACCGAGACAAGATTACGATAGCTTCTGCAAGTTTTCGGTTAGCCAACTGGAGAAGTGAAATGTTGAAAGATTCTTGCAAACCCAAGAAAATTAAGGCGTGGGCTGGGGTTTCTTTGTATATTTTTCCCTTAAACCCATGCCCATCTTCACTCCTTCCGTTTGAATGCTTTCCAATAGATGGAAATCTCTTTGTGTTCTCCATTCAAAAATTAGTTTTCAGTGAAATTTTTGAAAATTTTCTAAGAAAACCTTTGTTTTTTTGTCTTTTAAAACACAAAGAATGAGTTTTGTTGACAGGGAAAAGTATATAGAAAACTGAAATTTAAATTTTGAAAAGGACACAAGACACAATCTAGTTGATCGTGGGTTGAGTATCAAATCGTTTCTTTCCTTTTCCTTAAACGTGTCATCTTCCGAAATCTATCGTGATCTATCTTGTTTCTAGTTTTTATCGAATCTAAAGGGATCACTGAGGGTGAGGATGCCAAAAAGTAGAAAACTGGGTACTTCCGCATCTTTGCCCACCAATCAAAACAGGATAAATGTAAATTTCCTCGACATGTCTTTGGTTAAGTAAAGATAAGGAGAGAAAAAAGTATAAATAACTTCATTAGGTTTATCTTCGTTTACCGTATTTTCTCTAATAGTAGTGTACCCCGGCGAGCCGAGTCGGTGACTATTTTACGGTTTCCAGGTTTTCGCAGAAGCTCAACACTCAAATCCCCCACTAGATCTCATCGTCAGCTACATTTTCCGACCCCACATCGATAGGTTCGATTCGAGGATTTCACTAATTTGTGGAACTAAAATGCCTACTATTTTTCTCTAAAATAGCCGATGAAATTTTACGAAAATGTTTTGTCTTTGGTTTTTTACGGGGGCGCGAAGTCGGGTAGTCAAAAAAGGCGATTTAGGCACTTTCGTTCACAGAAACCTATGTTGTTGTCAATAGATAAAAGGTAGAGGGTAAAAAGTTAAGCATATAGGCAAATTTTCAGAATAATCCGTTCAACCGATTTCTTTCTAGAACTTTTTTGATCGAATTTTACAAAAAACGAGAAAAACATTAACGAATTTGCTTGAAAATGGACCTAAATTGTCTTAAAAAGATAGAAAAATGAATAAGAATAATAAAATTTTGTATTTAGAGCAAAGGTCTGTAGGTCTATTGATGAATTTTTCATCTATAAATGCTAGTAGAAAAAAAAAAAAGTGTCCAAAGACTTATTCGGCGAACCGAATACAGTACTGGACAATGAAATATGATATTTGAAAAACGATCGTCACTTTCGCGCGTCTGTAACTCCCTTTGTCTTTGAGTTTAAACTATTAGTGTTATACATTTTCTGAAAGCTCTTTTCAAGGGCTACACAATGGTAATATTAATATTTAGAAATACGGTAAAGACATGGGAGTTACAGACGCGCGAAAGTGACGATCGTTTTTCAAATATGATATTTCATTGTCCAGTAGTGTAGTTTTTGTGCCCATTTTTTTCACCAATCACAACATTTAAACTCACCAATTGAAAACGAATTTCAGCATTTTCCACTAAATAAGTTTTTTTTGAAAACTCATAAAGAACAAAATTATTCAAAATTTTAAACTTCGTGACAAGAAATAGTTATAAACCCGGAAATTTCTTGCAAATTCACAAAAAAAAGAAATGGAAATAGTTGATGGATTGCTATTTTGTCTAGATCCTGAGAAAAAGGAGTTAAAAACAAGAAAGTAAAGGAAAATATTTGATTAAATTGTTCATTTGTGTTCATTCAAGAAAAAAAGGAAAATACGTTTCGAAAAAAAAAAAAAGAAAAAAGGAAAATGTTCGTCGAAAATTGCCAATTCATCCATTCAGAATTTTTGCTCTATTCTTACTCAAAACATCGGAGATTAAACTGAGAAATTGAAACATTTTTTTTGGAAAAATGTCTTTTCAAGAGATTTTTTCAAAAAACTGCTATAATCAAAGCATCAGTTTTCATAGAGTTTAGTAAGATAATGAACTGAATTTAGAGATAAGGAGCCGAATTTAGAGAGATAAGGAACCGAATTTAGAGATAAGGAACCGAATTTAGAGAGATAAGGAGCCGAATTTAGAGAGATAAGGAACCAAATTCGTAGAGATAAGGAACCAAATTTAGAGAGATAAGGAACCGAATTTAGAGAGATAAGGAACCGAATTTAGTAAGATAATGAATCAGATCAGCCCCAATTTTGGTCATATTCGATGAGAAATCACAAGGCTCAGTCAATGATGCCAAAATTGAGTTGATCAAATGAAAACTGACGGTTTAATTACTGTAGGTTTTAAGTGCCTTGTCGAAAATGGATTAGAAAAATTGACTCTAATCCTACCGTAATCCATTTCTAGCCACTTTAGTAAGCCTATCTTTGTATTCAGTAAAGTCTTTATAATTTCCTTGAAATTTGAAGCTTGGGAATTCCCATGAAATAAATAAAATTCGCATTTTCAGAAGTTCAAGAGAGATTAATCACGGAAAAGGAAAAGAATTCAGAAAAAATGATCGAGAAAATGAAGAGAGGAAAGCGGAAAAAAAGTCCCAAAAAAATGGGATCATTTGTAGAAAATTCTCCCCAGGGAATCATGTAAAAAAGGAAGAAATTTCGAAAAATCTTTTCTTTTCGGAAATTGAAAAAAGGCTTTTGACCAGAGAAGCAATAAAAATGATGAGTTATTTGTGGGGAAAAGGAGATTCAGTCAATGAATGATTAGAGAGTTTCAATTTGAATTTATAAAATGAAATTGTATAGACAACGTTACGGTAGTAAAGATGGCAAGTTTTAGAAAACAAAATAATACTTTTGTGGTGTACTTTGTGCTCAAATCCGTAAATGCACCCTTTCTGGTGCATTGAATTCTTCAATTTTCTAGCAGTAAAATAGAAAATGAAGAATTAAGCGCACCAAAAAGAGTGTGTTTACAGATTTGAGCTCAAAGTATCTCAGAGTGAACAAATCAATTGCGCAAGAAAGCATTTAAAAAGATTTGTTATCAAGTATACGGTAACTTTCGAAAGAAGTACCTTTGAAAACTTTAAAGTTGACAAGTCTAGTACATGTTTTTGTTTTCTTTCCGGGCAAGTGTCCATTGGAGGGAATAATTTGCCTTGACAATTCCTGTGAGACTTCTCATCTCTTCCTTCAAAAGATCTTTTTTTGGCATCACTCAAATATTCGTTTCCTTTTCTCATTTTTCAGAAATATCAAGACATTGACATATCTTTTTCAACTACGAAACCTTTTGAATCTCTGGAATTTGGAAGTTTTTTGATGGAAGAATATTTTGTTCTTTGCACTTGGGAGGAAGGGAAATGTGAGACTTTTTCTAGTGAAATTATCTAGCAGAGAAATGACTTATGGTTACTGGGTACTAAGCAGTTGAAGGAGGGCACTTAGAATTTTCTCAAATGTAGTTTTTGCTAGGGTAATTGATGGCGCTGATCATGAAAAAAAAACATTTTTGATCTCTGGAGAGCCTATACCGACATTTCCTTTATGCCCCAAGCCTACAGACACATGACTGATCAATTGAATTTCATGAATCCGACTACAGGTTCCTACACGCAAAATGATGAATCCAAATGAAATTGCTTCAAAAAGATAATCAAACGGCGTTCATTCCAATCAATGTTCATTCCAATGACAGATACGCTGATTAAATGAACGAGTTTCTTTGGTGTCAGGAATTCAAAAAGGACGTTGCTTTTTACCACTCCTGGGACAAAGTGCGCCAGTTGTGCCCTTGCGAGTAATTCCCTCCTCCCCAACCCAAAAGATATCCGCGCGAAATAGTGTAAAAAATGTGTTCTCTGTTAAAAATGATTAGAAAATGATTAATAAAAATATTTCAATTGATCATCAGCACTCACAAACTAAGCTGATAAGAAGAGTCGAATTTCAGATTTTTACTTTTTCATAAAAGTCCATTTATAAAACAATCTACAAGACGGATTTTTATGAAACTATCATTTTTAGAATCAGCGCATTTTTTGGTCTAGAAAACGCAAATGTCAGTGTTTTTTAACAGAGAACACATTTTCACGCGAACGTGCAACGGTCCTCTTAAGGACCACAAACTACCCAATATAATGGCAGTACATCAGTTTTTTCAACTGAAAACATAACTTAAAAACGTTTTTTCGTGATCAGCCCCATCAATTACCCTAGAAAAGCTAAATTTGAGAAAATTTTAAGTGCCCCCAATTGCCTTAGTACCGGTTGTGGTAAAACCTATGTATTACAACAGTATGCCTCATGAAAAGCATAGTCAACAAGGTACAGTAAGAGTACGATAAGCGACAAAGTAAGTCAGTGAAAATGGATCACAATGTACAGCACTTGAAGTTTCAGCTGAGTAACTTTTCAAAATTGCGAACGAAAAGACATTCGTCTTGTCACTAGAATACTTTCCTATACTTAATTATTAGGCTGTCCAGAAAGTCTTTTTTTTCTTTTCGTACTTCCATTGAAAAATAACAAAAAAAATCATCAAATTCAAAAAAACCATAAGACATTTTAAATCCGCTTTAATGTTATTTTGCAGAAAAATAATGAACATTTCTAATGAAACAAATCATGGTTTAATTGGTGCATTTGTTGGTTTTAAACGGAAGTACGAAAAGAAACGAAAAGACTTTCTGAAAAGCCTAATATTACAGGACTTTCAGTTTTCATTTAGTTTACAGGCTTTATCAAAAATTTGGCCCAATTACTGTAAAATATTCTTCAACTCACACATCGCCTTTTCCATTGCTTTCGTTTCGACTGAATGGACGTCCCATTGCGTCGAAAACCTGCAAAAAGGAATTGGAAAATCGTTTTCTTTGAGAAATTTACTAATGTTTGCAGTAAACTTGGCTCTTACGTAGCTTCCGGGTATTTTGAACGAGTCGTCACGCTTTGAAGGCCTATAACTTTGTCCAGGGATAATATTTTTATTAACTTTTTATATCATTGTACGGAGGACATTTTAGGCTTTCAAATCATACCAAATAGAGCTTGATTGGATCATCGAGTCCAAGAAAATCAGAGCCCACTCTGAGCAAACGAGACCGATCCAACTCGGCTGTCGTCTCACCTTGTTTGCATGAGAATAAAAAATCCAGTTAAGCTCTATTTGGTATCATTTGAAAGCCTAAAATGTCCTCTGTACAATGATATAAAAAGTTAATAAAAATATTATCTCTGGACAAAGTTATAGGCCTTCAAAGCGTGACGACCCGTTCAAACTATCCAGGTTTTTCCAAAATACCCGTAAACTACGCAAATTTTAGTAAAAAAAGAAACACACCGCATTGTGAATTTCCCTTTCGCGTGGGCGATAATCGGGTGCATATTCGACGGTGTACGCGGCTCCTCCTTGATGCGACATTTTACCTAAAAATTGATATTTCATTAGAATTACATGATCTGCTAACATAAGAAATAAAAAGACATAAGAAAATAAAGACAAAGACATAAGAAATGTCTCTTTTTAAAGGTCAAGAATAGGCCATAAATTGTTGTTGAATCAAGTTACGAAATCGATTGCCATTTTTGTGCTGAACAAATATTAACTCGGAACAAAAGAAAAAAAATATTTGTCTTATGAATGAACAAAAATGGAATAGCAGCGATTTCAAAAGTTTTACGGGGGTGGGACAAATGCGACCTTTTTTTGCGCCCCTGGACATTTGCGCACCTTTTTTTGCTGGAAAAGGCTTTAGGCAAGGCCGTAGAGCTTCGAAAATATTTCCACATAAGGGAATCGTATGCGTAGATTCCGAATTTCGACAAATCACACCTCGCTGACACGTCAAATTTGGGCTAAAAGGCAAAAACTGCGGAAAAGCGTTAAGTTGTGTAGTTTTTGCCTTTTAGCCCAAATTTGACGTGTCAGCGAGGTGTGATTTGTCAAAATTCGGAATCTACGCATACGATTCCCTTATGTGGAAATATTTTCGAAGCTCTACGGCCTTGCCTAAGGCCTTTTCCAGCAAAAAAAAGGTGCGCAAATGTCCAGGTGCGCAAAAAAAAGGTCGCATTTGTCCCACCCCCGCGATTTCAAAAGTTTTACGGGCACAAACTAATCAAAACTTATTCAGATATTCAGCTAATAGAGAAGATTTTGTACAATTGATTTCTAAAGATACTTGATAATTGCAAATCGAGCCCAAATCCTTCCTAATATGCACAATCTTATGAGAATTAAGATTTCAAGAACTCAAAAGCCAAACCGAATCTGGAACACCCACTCTCTTCATACACACACAAAAAAACGAATAAGTGGGTCGAAAAACTGTAAAGTGGCCCTCGAAAAGGAAAAGAAATTGAGAGAAAATTTCTCTGTAAACTTTGCCAAAAAAGATTCTGAAAGAAAAATTCTTCTTTCTGATTTTCTTTTGGACCAAAAAGAGGAGAATTTTTCGAGAGTGGCAACGCATCGATGAGAAAAAAGAGAAAAGAAAGGAGATTTTTCTCCGTTTGTTCAGTGGATATCTTCTTTGGACCCCACCCACTAAATTTTGTAAAAATTTCTTACTGAAGGGACCAACGAGAAAGCGAATGTTTCAAAAATCAGTAGAGGTAAATAAAAACGATGTTTGGGTTTATTTTACTGACTCATTGGAATTTTTTATTTTGATTTGGAGTGAGTATACAAAAGAATTGCTTAAAATGGATTGTAGATTGATTGCAAACCCTTTTTCAATTATAAAAGTCCCAGGCCTGTTTCAGATTTTTGAGTGTCGAAAAAAATTAGAAAACGGAAGGAAAACACTCTAATTATAATTATAACTGAAAAAAATGTACCGTAAAAACTCTAATCTAACGACCCCCTATAGGAGCGTCGCGTAGTCTAATTTGCACTCAAAGAATCGATCATATCTCGACACCAGTACGTTTATCTCTGCGCGCTTAGGTATCAAATTAAAGTGGAGAGGATGGGTGATTTTTTTGAGATATAACACATTTTTGAACATTAACCATACAAAAAATGATTGAAAAGTGGCAAAAAGGAGCCGATTTTCAATCATTTTTTTCTAAGAGCTGGTTAATGCTAAAAATATGTGTTATATCTCAAAAAAAAATCACCCATCCTCTACTTTAATTTGATATCTAAGCGCTCAGAAACAAATGTACTGGTGTCGAGATATGAGCGATTCTTTGAGTGCAAACTTAGACTACGCGACGCTCCGTTGGGGCCCGTTCTATTAGAGTATTTACGGTAATTTGTTCTATTAGAGTATTTACGGATTTTCCGATTCTAGGGGGAAATTTATAATGCGAATCAGGCTTGTAAGCGGGAAATTTAATATCTTTGTGATTTTTAAAGCAAAACCCAACGAATCGGGCAGCTACGCACTGCGATGGAAAAACGTAGCTGCCCCATTTGTTGAGCCAATTTTGCATCATTTTTCAATCATTTTTTTCTAAGCGCTGGTTAATGCTAAAAATATGTGTGTTATATCTCAAAAAAATCACCCATCCTCTCTACTTTAATTTGATACGTAAGCGCGCAGAAACAAAAGTACTGGTGTCGAGATATGAGCGATTCTTTGAGTGCAAACTTAGACTACGCGACGCTCCTATAGGGAGTCGTTAGATTAGAGTTTTTACGGTAACTTCACTTGGCCTGATAACAATATCTAGATATATCAAATGATAAATTTACCAGATAATCGTAGAGTCAGCCAAGATTATTTACTAAATAAAGAAGAACACGAGAAGATCAAATAATTTGCGATGATGAAGGGAAAATGGGGGTGGAAGGGCAAATTTGCACAAATGTTTAACGATTTGGTGAGTGATCGAAAAGATCAAAAAATGGTGAGAAAAAAAGAAAATGAAAAGGAAAAAATTGATGAGAACAAAGACAAATAATGAAGAGAATGAAGAAGAAGGAAGAAAGAAAGATTATTGAAAAGAAAACGGAGAAGAGAAGATGCACGCGGGGAAAAGAATGAAGTCCTTGATCATCACAGCGATTTGCGATGACGTTAGAAAATGAAGTAAAAAGTATCGGAGTAGGTTTCGTGGGTTGTTAACGAGTATCGAGTGTACGAGTACGTGGACTGTATCGAATGCATTTTTTAAAACGTGTCGACTTTCCAAAACTACAATAACCTCGCTTCTGCTTATTGTTCAATCGATTTTTCTGATTTTGAGAGGAAGATTCAAAAGTAGATACCGTAAATACTGTAATAGTACCCCACCCCCTCGTACAGTCGCGTAGTCGCAAAAGTTTTTTAGTATTTCATTTTTTTCAAAGTACCTGTACTTTCAAAAAATCCGTCTTTGATATCAAAAAATAGCTGAAATTCAGGGCTATTTTTTGTTACCAAAGCGCGCATTGTAGCATAAACCAGTGTCGAGAAAAACTCGTTCAAAGCTAGACTACGCAACACTCCACACCGTCATTATGGGGGTGGGGTACTATTACAGTATTTACGGTAGTTGATTAGAGAACTAGAGGCAAGATTACTGTAGCTTTGACGACACATTGACACTTTTTAGAAAACGGAAAAGAATATATTTACATGCAATTTTTACATTTAAAAAGAGTAATTTAAATTTGTGTTCAATAAAAAATATTTCCTTCAAATAAAAACAAATTTCGGCTAAACACCAATCGTATCTTGCTACACTACGACTCAGGTTGGTTTTTTTCTTCTACTTTACTTTATTCTTTTTTGAAACTTTCATTTTCTTGACATGTTTATGCTTTTTTTCATCTAGATCATTCGAAAATGCCAGCCGAATCCAAAGATCAAAAGAAAAACGCGATAGTGTAAGTTTTTATTGAATATTTGAAACTTTGTTAAAAAATTTAAATATTGGTTTTGAAAGATTGGAGCTCTTTTCATTACTGGAGCATAATTTTTGTTTGTTGACTTCTGTAAAAGGTTAGTTGTTCAGCCGTAGTAGATTTCGGTTGTTTTGTAGTTTTTATGTCACATGTTTTAATCTTTGCCTTTAGTGATGCAATCAAGCCGACCTCGACAATGAATTCTGCTCAACCAGCCGCTCCACATTGTAAACCGGCAAACAAAATGAAAAGGAGAAAAACCTCAAAACAAGAAGAGAAGGTAAGAAATTTTGGGTTTGGCTATATAAAGTAGATGTTTGCTTGATGGAGACAAAATTTTCTTGGTTTATTCTTATTTGGTAGAATTTAGACTCCAGAACAACCAAAGAACACTGCCCTACCGAAATCGCCAACCGCGAAAAGTAGAATAACTTATGCATTCTAATTTTTAAACTTTTTTTGTTTAGAGAAACCATCAGGCGGAGTATTACCAGAAACAAAGGATGAGATAGCGAAAAAAGACAGAAACTTGGCAAAAAGCGGAAAATCGGTATGAAATTTTAAAATTGTTAAACGGTGAAATGAGCTATGCTTTTCTTCATCAGTTTTTATTTTTTAGGCACTTTCATTCTACGGACGAAACGATCTCTTGAACGATGATGCACTCTTGAAAGTAAGAATTTTTCTTTGATATTTGATAGGTAAACGTTTCTTTTAGCAGCAGCAAGAAGCAGAGTCGAGTGGCGATGATCAACCAAAAGTCAAAGGGAGAGGTAGCGAGATCGCGCAGGATAATCGATCGAAATGGGCACTCAATTTGCTTGCAAATCCAGATGTGAGGAGATTTTACTTATTAGTATTTGAATTGGCTCATAAATGATAATCGATATTTTAAGTTTTATCGTTTTTAGGCCTATCGATCCATCGGACGTGAATTCTTGAAGAACAAAACTTACCAGGCCGCCAATCCCGATGCCACGTACTTTTGCGCAAATATGAACAAAAATCGGTGAGTTGCGGATGTTAAAAGCTTTGAATATCTTTATCTTAACATTTTATGTTTTAGCTATGGTGATACCCGTTGTCTTGATGTGACTCGAGTGATTCTCAAGGGTCGTTCGCCTGAAGATGATTACATCAATGCAAATTGGATTCATCTTGATGATGGATTTCGGTGAATATTAGCACTTTTTTCCTAAATTGTCTTTTTTACAGTTACATCTGCACACAAGGACCAATGGAGGAGACAAGTGAAGATTTTTGGCACATGATTTTCACCGAGAAGGTATACAATATTGCTTTATAATCATAGCTAAACCTTATGTTTGTTTTCAGGCACTGGTGATTGTGATGATATGCAATTTTATTGAGAGCAACGAAGAGAAATGTTACAGGTCCGTGAAAGTTGAATTATTGAATTATTTTCTTCTTTAGATACATCAATCCGTCAAAGAAACTCACGTTTGGTCCATTTAAAGTAACTCATCGCGAAAAAAAGACGATTGAGGGAATCGGGGAAGAGATTAGCTTGAATTGCTTTGAGATTGCAAAGTGAGTATTTGGTTTGAAACATTTTAAAGTTCCAAATACGGTTAGATTCGCTTAACAGTGTTCTTATATGTTTTTCTTTTAGAGAAGGCGAAAAGGAGCCGCACACGATTCATCACTTTCAATGCACTCAATGGAACGATCACACAGCGCCCACCGATCCCCGACCATACGCAAGTCGGCATTTTGGTTGCTCAAAATTTAAATTTAAATACGTGCATAAAGCTTTTGACCATTAGATTTATAAATAGTGTGACATGCCTATTTTTATTTTTTTATTTTAGTATTGCTAAAGAAAGTGCGCGAGCTTGGTGGAAAAGATGGCCCCGTTGTAGTGCACTGTTCGGCGGGAATTGGACGTTCTGGATCGTTTATCAGTATGCTTTTTTTATTGATCAACCCAAAAAGTTCCGCTTTTAGTGATGGACTTGGCTTTGCAGAAAATCGCTAAAGATCCGAAGACAAGCTTGATTTCGGTGCTGAAAGAGACTAGGAATCAGAGGTGCTTGTTGTTATGATGGGTATATATTCTTTCTTTGTTTAGAGCCTCGGCTGTACAGGGAATCCTTCAGTATCTCTTCATTCACATTGTCGTCCTTGACACTCTCGTTTTGGTGAGTTAAAAACTGTTTTGTTTAAAAACTAAGTGAACTACCCAGTCGTTATTACGAGTTGACAATACAATTCTTTTATTTTCCTATTTAGAGTGGAACAATTTCGAAAGATGGCCTATATCAGAAGCTTCTCTCCAAATATCGAGGGTCAGTTCATTTAGTTTAGCAGAAAAGTTTTATTTTGTTGTTTCAATGTTTTTTTCTTTTCACATTTGTTGGACATTCTTTTGTTTTAGTGGACTCAAAGCAATGGAGGCAAAACAAGCGAAGAAAAAGGAGGAAAAGGTTGGGATTATATGAGTATGAGTTTTTCATATCTTATTTTAGGACAGGGATGAGAAGGGGAACAAAGAGGAAAATAACAACAACAATAACGCTGATGGAAAATCGACAATGTGTGTGTCTGGGGTGAGTTTTCTATTCTTTCACCCCTACTTTTTCCTTTCAGATTGCCTCGGGGGAGAAACATTAAAATGAATGTGTGGATTGGACCAAAAAATACGTATCAGTTGTTAAATCGGAAAATTCAACGAACAAATTTTACCCAAACTCGGTCACTCTCTTTTTGTCTATTTGTATACGATTTGTGTTCACATGCCTTTTTTGTATGCTTTATGTGAATCGTATGAATATATCTTTTGATTGAATAAATGACAATTTTATTTTTTAGATTAATGCGCTGAAAATTCTTTATATATGATACATTCGGAATATGATTTTGGACGTAGATAAACAAATCAAATGTCATTTTGAAGTCTTACTGTAGAAAAGAGCAATTTGCTTACAAGGGAAAGGCGTCAACTTATGCCGTATTGAAAATTTAACATTTGCGGCCACATTTCTAAAAGCTACAGAAAGCGGGCTAAGACTCAACTCGATTATTCATTGCAAATTATTGAGACGACGTCATTAAGGAGCTCGAAATTCAAGGTGATTTTTTATGCGAAATATCTCGCGTTTGTGAAGCGTTCTGCAAAAACCAAAAAACCGGATTCAAAATCCCCATGGTCAATTCTATAAGATGGGCTTGAGCTCGAATCAAAGCATAAGTTGGTGCCTTTCCCTTGTTAGTAGACAAAAAATGCACCAAAAAAAACGGCAGTTCAAGAAATGGAACTATTTTGAGCAAACCTTGCTTACGACTGGCTTAAAAAAATGGAAAGAAATAATTTTCGTCTTAAATTTCAACTCTTCATCAATCTTCCCAATTTTCCGACACCCTTTTTCGCTTTGAGGAACATGCGTAGAATAATGACTGAAAAGAAAATTGGTTAAGTTTAAGCAATATGTGTTTTCAACCTGCAAGAACGATGCTGATAATCGAGAGAACGAGCGCAACAACGGAGATAATCAAAGCGATCAATGGAAAAGAGGAATCGACGGAGTCTTTGTCTGAAAGATTCGGCTGTAGACAGGACAACTTTTTGAAAACTAGCCGGGAAATGTCTAAATGATTCCAAAAGTGGCAAGTGTTATATCGAGAATTGTAGCCCGAATTCTCGGCAACATTTATCTACCAAAAACTTCCCGATTCGACTTATACAACTCATTTAACAAGCGCTTGTCTGAGCGCTATTCTCTCTTCTCTTCAATCTCTCTTCAACTTAAATTTTGGTTATGCCAGTTCAACCAAAACAGTTAAGTGTGTTTCTTAAGGTTATTAAGTGATGTTAAATGCTATTTTTGCATTGAAAAGCTTTTCTTAACAATTTTTAATTGTTAAGAGAGAAGCGGTCAAATGACAGATCGCTAGAGAGATGTCGACTAACGCTCATTCAAGCGCTTGTTAAATGATTTAGATAAGTCGAATCGAGAAGTTTTTAGTAGATGAATGAAGCCAAGATTAAGGGCTTCAATTCTCTATATAACACTTGCCACTTTTGAAATTAATTAGACATTTCCCAGCTAGTTTTTAAAAATTCTAAATATAATTCGCGGTCATCATGTATTGACGCATTTGTTTAAGAGTTTAAGATTAGATTTCAAATGGTTTATGGGCTTGTTTGAGAAAATGGGCATTCAATATAATCATGTTAAAAAGACTATACTTTAAAGACTATTACAAGACTATTAGACTTTGATAGTCTTTAAAGACTATACTTTAAAGACTATTACAAAGACTGTGCCTTGGGATTGGATAACTTCTTTGGTTTTGGTGATCAGTTTTATGCAGATACAGTTACTATATAAATGCTAGCTTTCAAAAGTCTATAAAAGAACAAGCATACAAAAATTTCAGCTCTAAAAGTAAAGAAAATGCTCTAACGTGAGCTCTCTGATGAATTTAGATTTCCAAAATTCAGCTGAAAACCTTTGACTTAATCTTAATCAAGTCTTCTTCTCGAAACTGACCTTTATTCGCTGAAATGAGCGGAATAAGAAATAGAAGAATAAGGAAACTCTTCATGATTTTGATTGGTCAAAAAAGAAATCAATATAGGGAATTATTCGAAAGCTTTTCCTTTCCTTTTCTCTTTTTATTTCCTTTCTTTTCGCTCAAATGCCCCTTTTTGTTTATTTGTCGAGTGATTCACGTTTTTTTGGTGCCGTGTCAGCTGTGCTTTGGGATTGGATGACTTTTTTTGGTTTTGATGATAATTCCTGATTAAACGGAAACAAAATATAGAAGGGAAATGGGCAGGGAATGTTTTGTTGGATTTGCGCTTGAAATGCATCCCAAATGTGAGCCATCTGGTGCCACAGGTTTTTCAAATCTCTTTTTGTTGTTTTTTTAATCTAAATTTTTCCAATCAAAACCGATCGGCTTCACAAAAGTGAACACAGAGTGATGCCTAATGTACAGCAGCCTAATGTACAGCAGCCTAATGTACAGCAGCCTAATGTACAGCAGCCTAATGTACAGCAGCCTAATGCCTAATGTATGTCGAGCATCTATCGAACATCGAACACCAACAAAATCGTCAGTTTTCATTCAATCAACTCAATTTTAGATCATTTAATAAGAATTACGGTGCTCGTGTACAAGAATGAAATAGAAAGCTGAAAGTTGAAAGCTAAAAGCTGAAAACGGAAAGCTTTCTGAAAGCTTTAGTCTTAACATGTTGACAACATTGTCACCTGATGCTGTCTGACACATATTCGTTCGCCTGGGACATTGTCACCTGATGTCAGGTGACAGTACCAAAATTGATTTTTTTGTGCATATTTATGTTTACTGATGATGGATATTAAATAAGCAAGTAGGATAGTATCTATATTCGACTTGGTCCCGGAAAATCTCGATTTAACCGTTGATTATTAAAATTTTAATCTTTTAGGTGACAATTTCAGGTGACATTTTTTGTCGAAAAAAACAACGTTGTCCCATGGGATTGTTTGTGCAAAAACGCCATTGTCGTCAACGTGTTAAGTATCGCTTTTTTTGAGCCAATTCAAATTCAAGCCAATTCAAACTAAGCAACACAATTCAGGATCTGTCTTAGACAAAAATTTGAAATGTTTATTGAAATTGAAATGCAAAAATCATTGTTCAAATATTAGAGAATCTAAAAATTTCGAAACAATCCGAAAATCTTGAAAAACTTCCCGGTAACTGTTGATTGAGCGAAGGCTAGATTGTAATTGGGCACACAGTTTCCCGATGACTCAACACCAAAGATCGCTCTTTTCCTTTTTCCTTCTCTTTTCCTTTTTCCTTCTCTTTTCTTTTTTCCTTCTCTTTTCCTTTTTCCTTCTCTTTTCTTTTTTCCTTCTCTTTTCCTTTTTCCTTCTCTTTTCTTTTTTCCTTCTCTTTTCCTTTTTCCTTCTCTTTTCCTCAAAAACCCATTGATTTTTTGCGTGTCTTTCTTTCTTTTCACTTTAAAATTCTTTCCTTTTTTTTTCATCATCGTTGCACAACTTTGCAATACGGATTTTTCGGAATTTAACTGCTTCCTTAATTCTCTCATTCTTCTACAACAATTTTTTTTACGTTTTATACTCTTTAAAAGTTTGAATCGAATTTATTGAGTTGGTGAATTGAAAACTGCGGGCTATTGTCATGTGTGACAGTTTGAGCACTTTCTTCAAAAGAAACCCATTTTGGTGTCAATGGAAAAGTTGTAGAGAATCAAAAATCAAGCTTATATCCAAATTTTCAGAACGACTCAAAAACTGGTTTTCAAGAAATGCCAAATTTACGAATTTTTGACAAAACTTGCATTTTAAGCGAAACTACTAAGTGTATCTTTTTGGAAATTTGGCTATAAGCCTAATTTTTGATTCTCTACAACTTTTCTATTGACACCAAAATGGGTTTCTTTTGAAGAAAGTGCTCAAACTGGACAAACTGGGACATCTCCAGTCCTCGATTTTTGAGTCTCACACTTGTCTCACACACAAACCAAAATCCTACTACGAAAGAGGAATCCGCAAATCCGCAAATTGCCTGTAAAATAGGCAGAAGTTGTCAATAATAATGGAAATTATTTGGAATGAATTTATGGTTTTATGTTGAATAAATTTTAGTTCAAAGTCCCGCAGTTTTCAATTCACCAACCCAATAGAATTGAAAATTACAGACACAAAAAGTTTGAAAGTGCTTATGCGTGCTTCTAAAACGTTCTTTTAACGTTGGACGTTCTTTTAAAGCTTGGACGCTTTTGTGCATTCTTGAAAAATTGCTTTCTCCAAAGTTTTCCCATTTAGAAAACCCAATTATTAGGTTGACCGATAAGTCCAATCCGTTTTTCAATTCGTTTTTCGTAAAAATCTCGATCGTTTTTTGACCAATCGCTTTGAAGATTTGGTTACCTTGTAGCCAAGCCAAAATTTGGTTACCTTGAAGCCAAGCTTTCAGAGCAATCGACCAAAAACAAACAAGATTTTCGAGAAAAACGAATTGAAAAAACAGAGGACTTATCGGCGAACCAAACAGAATTGTTACTTTGTCTTTAACTTTATCTTTACTTTCAGAAACAATGAACAAACAACGATCGACTCGATCAAATCCCGAAAGTGACAAAGAGAGGCGACTTTCAATCGAATTGTCGTATATGTTGAGACATGATGAGAAAATGATTGCATATATTGATGAGAATGGATTTGCACAAATTGAGACAATTTTGAGGAGATTTCATGGGAAAATGACGAGAGAATTGCTGGAAAAAATTGTTCGCGAAGACAAAAAAGGACGATATGAGATATGCGGGGAAATGGTTTGTGATCGATCTTTTTGGGTACAGATCTGGTTCCTTTTCTCTACCGATTTGGTTCCTTTTCTCTACAGATTTGGTTCCTTTTCTCTACTGATTTGGTTCCTTTTCTCTACTGATTTGTTTCCCTTTCTCTAGAGATTTGGTTCCTTTTCTCTACAGATTTGGTTCCTTTTCTCTACAGATTTGGTTCCTTTTCTCTACTGATTTGGTTCCTTTTCTCTACTGATTTGTTTCCCTTTCTCTACAGATTTAGTTCTTTTTCTTTAAAGAGTATGCTTTAAAATCAAAAATCTCAAATAGATTACCGACTTGTTTAACTTAACTTTTACCAAAGCCAAAAAGAGTTTTCAGATCCGAGCCGTGAATGGTCACTCAATTCCCCTGAAAATCATCGGCGATCGTCTCTCCACTCCTCCATCAATTCTTTATCATTTAACATCTAAAGAAGCTGTTTCATCAATTCTTTCAACAGGATTAGATCGAAGAACAAGAATTTACATCCATTTCTCTCCTGAATACCCACAGAAAACCCCGAAAAGGAATACTCTTTTGATAATCGATCCACCAAAGGATTTTGAATATTTTCGTACACCAAATGGCTATATTGTATGCAAAGAGACAATTCCACCCGAAAATATTAAAGTTGAGGAGATTAAAGTGTGATTTTTTTACATTTTTGGACATAAAACGAGTAATATATGAGTGATTTGAGAGTGAATACGTTCATTCTCATTCAAATCTTTTAATATGATTGTTATTGTTATGCTTGAGAGCTTTTGAAAATAAAGTTTTCATCAACCGACAAAAAGTGCAGCTGATATCCCAAAATTTCTATTCCCAAATTGACACACAGAACAGACACAAATTTCTATTCAGAACATGTAAAAACGAGACTGTAAGTACATTTGGCATTAAACTACCATCGAAGCTAATGTTTTTGATTACTTTTTGATTACTAAACGATAAAAAATGATCACTCGCCGCTGAGGCCGATGAGAACAATGATGCAAACACACGACACCACGATCAATCCAACGGTCAGACCAACACTAAAATATCAATATAGTTCAAAACAAAAAAAATGACTCACTTTGATCCTTCACTTTCTGTCGCCGATGCGGTGGTGGCTTGTTGAGAATTCTTTTCTTTTCTTTTCCGATATTCCCGGGATCGGTTTTGTTTGATGATGTTGTGCGTATCAAAAGCTGAAATTCAGGGCTATTTTTTGATACCTAAGCGTGCATTGTAGCATAAAACAGTGTCGAGAAACACTCGTTCAAAGCTAGACTACGCAACACTCCGCACCGTCATTATGGGGCTGGGATACTATTACAGTATTTACGGTAGGTAAACTTTGAATTTTTCGCTTTTAGCTAAAAGCATTGATAAAGAAACAAAGTTTGAAAGCTTTTAGTTAAAAAGTATAAATATTTCTATTAAAACATAATTTGAAGACAATTCATTTTTAGCGATCATCGAACCTCGATACATTGGCTGATGTGGACTCGTTTTCTAGTTGATCATATTATTTTTAACGCTAAATCCTCTTTACTTTTTGTTGTTTATGAGATGCAAATGCAAAATTTCCTTTCAGGCTCTGGAAGAATCGATCTCCCGAAGTGAACCGCTAAATAAACGGACGAGAGGTAAATTTTAGTTTGCAAACAGAAATGGTTATGATTGAAAGAAGCAATTGATATGAAAATGTTAAAGAAATGATTGACTCAAATCTCAAAAGGATTCCCAGGTTTTGTTCACTTACTTGCCTTCGAGAGAATCACCATTTAAAGAAACTATAATATAATGACGACGGCAACTTTAAGCGCATTTTGTTTATCACAACGTCACACGGTTTTTCAAGTGATTGAACCCAAAAAAAAAAAAATGATTTTATTGCAATGAATTTCGCCCTCTTCTCTTTCCAATAAAAGAAAATTGATCGTTGAATGGATCCGAAGTAGAGAAAATGATTGATGGATCACATAAAAAGATTTCAATCATTCTTTTCTCTTCTCCCATTTTCTCCACAAATATCACCAAATCCATCCATTCTCTCCATTGAAATCGGAAAAAGAAAAGAAAAGGTATTTTCTATTCGCTGTACACACATCCACTCAAAAAAAAATGCGGGGCAAAACATTGCCGATCGTCCACCATTCAGCTGACTGACCGTGTTTATCTCTCTTCTTAAATTTTTGATTATTTTCTCAAATTTGGCAAAGAATTCAAAGTTTGATTTATTTTCTTTTATTTGTATGAAACATTCTTCATGGTTTTCAGTTGTACGCTTTAAGCAATTCTTTATTTTTAAACAGCTTTTAGTGTGCTAGATGGAGAAGATATGGGAAAACTTGAAAAATTATTATTTGAGAAAAATTATAGAAAATTATAGTAAACCGATTCTGCCTGAAAAGCCGTACAGCCTTACAATTGTAAGCCGTACAGCCTTGCTTTAGCTAGGAACCGCCACTCCTTTTTAAAAGCACGGTTTATAAAAATGCAACGATGTTTTTGCGACAGATCACTTAAATATAATCTATTAGACTGGCCGATAAGTTGGTAGAATTTTTTTATCAACTTTTAAAGTTGTAATTTCTCAAAAACCTCACCATCAATTTTTCTGAGAATTTAGCAGTAAATAAAACCGATCGTTAAAAAAGTTTTTGCCAAAATATGAGAGCAGTTTTAGCGGCTAGTTTTGAAGATTTCATTAGTTGAATGGTTCCTGGCGCCTTTTGAGGGAACAATCTTCAATCGAACCGTCTTCAATCGAACAATCTTCAATCGAACAATCTTCAATCGAACAGTCTTCAATCGAACAGTCTTCAATCTTCAATCGAACCGTCTTCAATCGAACAATCTTCAATCGAAAAGTCTTCAATCGAACAGTCTTCAATCTTCAATCGAACAATCTTCAATCGAACCGTCTTCAATCGAACAGTCTTCAATCGAACAGTCTTCAATCGAACAATCTTCAATCGAACAGTCTTCAATCTTCAATCGAACAGTCTTCAATCGAACAGTCTTCAATCGAACAATCTTCAATCGAACAGTCTTCAATCGAACAGTCTTCAATCGAACAATCTTCAATCGAACAGTCTTCAATCTTCAATCGAACAGTCTTCAATCGAACAGTCTTCAATCGAACAGTCTTCAATCGAACAATCTTCAATCGAACAGTCTTCAATCTTCAATCGAACAGTCTTCAATCGAACAGTCTTCAATCGAACAATCTTCAATCTTCAATCGAACAGTCTTCAATCTTCAATCGAACAGTCTTCAATCGAACAGTCTTCAATCGAACAGTCTTCAATCGAACAATCTTCAATCGAACAGTCTTCAATCTTCAATCGAACAGTCTTCAATCGAACAGTCTTCAATCGAACAGTCTTCAATCGAACAATCTTCAATCGAACAGTCTTCAATCTTCAATCGAACAGTCTTCAATCGAACAATCTTCAATCGAACAGTCTTCAATCTTCAATCGAACAGTCTTCAATCGAACAGTCTTCAATCGAACAGTCTTCAATCGAACAGTCTTCAATCGAACAATCTTCAATCGAACAATCTTCAATCGAACCGTCTTCAATCGAACTTTCCATAGTCCAGTTTTTAGATAAAAAGATGAACTCAAAAAAAAACAAAATCAAAGTAAACAAAACTGGGATTTTTTTGTTTGGTGAAACCACTTTTCATATAAAGCTTTAGTTTTTAAAAAAAACGCACGGCTGTTTTGAATTTTCAGTGTCAAAATAGATAGAAAATAGACTCAAAAAAGGCAAAATCTTTAAATGAGCTTCTTTATCGAAAGTAAATGTGGCTAAAAATATCCATAATCAAATTCTGACATGGATTTGTGGTGGCCGTTTATTTGATATGTAGTTTTTATGCCGAAAAATTTGATTTTAAGCTACTGTTTTAAATGTTTTATTGCCAAAAGATGAGAGTTTTTTGCCAAAAAAACTTCATCTTTTGGCAAAAAAACCTTCTACAATACTGGAAAATGAAATATGAAATTAGAAAATTGAACGCATTTTTTTTTGTGGCCCCGTAACTTCCCAATCTTTTTAGGTAGACCATAAGTGTTACCGTATTTTCTGTAATAGTAGTGCAGTCTATAATAGTAGTGCAGTCTGTAATAGTAGTGCAGGCTGGAGGGGGGTTGAAAAAATAGTAGTGCGCACTACTATTACAGAAAATACAGCATATATTTTCTGAAAGCTCTAATCAAGATCTCTACGATGGCTTTTAGACACCGTGGAAAATCGCTATTTTTTTCAATTTTTTTAAAAATTAATACGGAAAAGGAAACCTCATCTTTTGGCAAAAAAAACAGCAACTTTTAATAAAAGTAAAAGGATAAAATTTTCGCAAAGATTAATGGTGGGGGTTTTTAAGAAGATATAAGCTTTCCAAATATTCCTAAATAAGCTTTCCAAATATTGTCGGAAATTTGAGGAAAATATCGAAAGAAACGCCATTAAATCCAAAAAAGGGAATTCTTTTTACACGTATATAAACTCTAAATCTAAGGACCCTAACCAAATTCCAAATTCCTTTCTTGATCCATCCAATCCTAGTGAAACACTTTTAGATCCCGGAAAAATTGTGCTTGAGTTTGGTAATTTCTTTCACAGTGTTTACAATAACCAGATACCTGATGAACCATTCCCGGCTTTTCCACCTAAAGCCATTCCACCACAAGCCGATTTCCTCCTTACAGCTAGTGACATCGAAGCTGCTTTCAAAAAGTTGAGACCCAAAAAATCGCCTAGTCCAGACAAAATTACTGCTTTTGTTCTAAAGAAACTACATAAAGTGCTAGTCATTCCTCTTGCCAAATTCTTCAATAAAATTTTGCTTGTCTCTGCGGTCCCAACTTACTGGAAACAATCTCTTGTGTCGCCTCTTCTCAAAAAATCGCCCAAAAATATATTCGCTAATTATCGTCCCATTTCTTTAACTTCTCCTGTGTCAAAACTTTTGAAATTATCATAAAAGATAAAATTTTCAACATTTTGATAAGTACAATCTTTTTCTGACCAGCAGTTTGGCTTCCTTAAAAATAAATCCACAACTTCTCAACTATTTTAGCCTATAAGTCCTTTTTCAAAGCTTTAGATCAAAAGAAAAATCTATTTCCCAACTAGAAGCCGTCTTCTTAGATTTTGCAAAAGCTTTTGATTCTGTTCCCATTGATCTTCTAATTCACAAACTGCATGCTTACCGGCTCAGCCCACTTGTAATTTCGGTCGTCAAAAATTTTCTTTCTCAGCGGACTTTCAAAGTAATTCTAAATAATGTTCTTTCTCCCTCTTTTGATTGTCCTAGCGGGGTTCCTCAGGGTAGTATTCTTGGTCCTCTTTTGTTTACTATCTATATTAATGACCTGCCTAACTGTCCTTTCAAATCAAAAAAATTCCTCCATCTGGCTCTATGCCGATGATGTTAAGCTTACGTTCAAAATTCCCATCGGAACTCAAGTAGCTTCGCTTGCGGCTGTAAAAGATGCAAACCATGACTTAGAACTTATTAATTTGTGGGCCAAAACGTGGAAGCTTTCCCTATCCCCTTCAAAATCTCAACATTTTCCACTGGTAAATTTAGTTTCTCTTTGGTAATTAACAATATTCCTATCAATTACATTAGTAAATTAGATTTTGTTAGAGATTTAGGGTGTCCACATCTCTCCCCTTTTAATTTCACTAAACATATTGAAATCATTTGTCGAAAAGCTTCTTTTGTTTCTAGCCGTATTCTCAAATCAATTGTTCATCCTAACCTAAACTCTTACCGCAAATGCTTGACGACTTATATCCGGCCCATCTTAGAATATGCTTCTATTGTTTGGTCTCCCCGCGCACAAGTCTTTATTGAACGCTTGGAGAAAATTCAGAGGAGGTTCACAAAAAGTCGCTTTATGGAAAATTGACTATTCTAAATATTCTAGCTTTACTTATGAGGAGAGACTTGCTTTTTTTGAACTAAAAACTTTACAGCATCGTCGCTTTGTCATTGATTTAGTCGAAACTTTCAAAATCCTCCGTTGTAAACAGATTAGCCCTTTGTTTATAGACTTTTTCAAATTTAAACCGCGGTCAGGGCCCAGAAGTGGCTCATTCCTTTTGCAAATTCCCTTTGCTTCCAATGCCTCTTTATCAAATTCATTTCCCGTTAGAGCCGCTAGATTATGGAACTTGCTCCCAAACGACATACGAGAAATTCAGTCGCTTTTCATATTCAAGAAACGTATCGATGCTTTAGATCTAGTGGCTCTTTGCCGTAAGTAATTGGCTTATTGATTTCAGTATGTATTGTATGATTAAGTATCACTGTGCATTTCTCTATGATTTCTTTCACTTTATCGTTTGAATAAAGTATTATTATTATATACTTTAAAAGTTAATAAAAAAAATCTAAGAACTAATCGGCTAGCCTAGTATTTAGACATAGATAAACTTAAAAACCGCAAAATTTATATAGAAAAATGCGAAAAAACTGTCCTTACCTAAGAAAAATGGATTATTTTGACAAAATTTCACTCAAATGGGTAATTTGAAGTGGAGAATCCGAATCTAGTGTTAAAATTTTCCAATTTTACGTTATTGAACATCAAAAAAATGACAATTTGTGAAAAATAGAATAGCAAATTGTTTTTAGAGTAGCCTGTTTTTAGAGTAGCCATTTTGGCCACTTTGGCAGCTGTTTAGAGTAGCCACTTTAACCACTTTGGCAGCTGTTTAGAGTAGCCACTTTAACCACTTTGGCAGCTGTTTAGAGTAGC